CAGTGGAGGGAAGACCCCTCTCTCTCTGTCTCTACCTCTCTGCGTAACTGTGACTTTCAAGTAAATAAAATAAATCTTAAAAAAAAAAAAATCCCCAAGTCCAATGGCCCAAATTTCCAAGGATTTCCAACAGGAGTGAAGACAACTGATAGTGTGAATGATGCTAAAAGCAGACACCATTTGTAAGGGAATAGGATGTCAGTGTGAGAAGCCACGTCACGTGAGCACGTGTCACGGCATCTAGATCTGCTCAGCCTAAAAAGCAGAAGACAAAGAGTTGAGGGTGGTGTTGTGCCTGGGTTTGAACTGTCAAGCAGAATAGGAAAACTGATTTTGTTTTGTTTTGTTTTTGTTTTGTTTTTGTTTTTTGTTTTAAATAAGGTCTCTCTGCTCTGGAATCCTTCAGGCCATGAGAGCCAAGTGGAGGAAGAAGCAGATGTGAGGCTGAAGCGCCAGGGAAACATGAGACAGAGGTCGAAGTAAACCACTGGCATGTGTGCTTATGATGGCCAGAGGTCGGGGCACTGGGGACAGCACCTGGACTGCCCGCTACTACCCACGACTTGTCTCTCAAACGATCTGAAATTTCCCCTGCTATTGGATCGCTGAAACTACTTGTGAGATGCCTCTTGCTGATGCCTAGACAGTCCCTCATAGCCCTGCGCCCTGGGCTGCTGACTTTCTACGCCAGTTCTGTTCTCAGTCGTGGCTGAGTCTAACATGTGTGCAATAAGCCACCCCTTTTGCTGTGTACATCAAAGAATAAAAAATAAATAAATACAGAGGGCAGAAATAGGGCCAGCTGGTGAAAATGACAGCAAATCAACTTTGTATTTAATAAAAAAGGAGCACTTTAACAATTACAGACATTTATCTAATGTTCCTTTAGCTTAAGAATAAAGATCTACATAATGAATAACAGTATCTTTCACAAACAATATCTTTTACAAAAGATGCAGAACGTTATTATTAACACTTGTGTTTATTGTATACCAACAGAACTTTAAAGTAAATGTTTCAAATGCCATGAAAACAATAAACTCTTAGGAGAGCTAAGGTTAGAAGACTGATTTCCTAACACTCTCCTGTAACTCCATGTACTGAAGAGAAGTTGGGCTTGGAATCACAATTGCATACCCCCCCTCCCCCACACACATAAGTATATGTGGAAAGCTACCATATTGCACACAACACACAAATAAACACACCTTTGCCAGGAGCTACAATATTACTGAAAGAAGAGGTGATTCCTTTTGGTAAATAAATATGATTCCATTAACTAAATTCTTAGTTCTACAGCATCTGTCGGGCTGATGACTTGCTACACTTCTGGGTAGGCTATCCTTGCCTGTTGTCTTGGTCCACCATGTCTCCCGTCAGCTAAATTACATGATCTGTACTAGTCGAGGCACAGAGAACAACAATAAAAACACGAGCCTACAATAAAAGCAAATCTGAATTGAAATTGAGGTTTCGACTTAATATGATCAAACCACAATTTATTCCCATTCTCCCTTTGCAGCAGGTTTCCACTTCCTAACACTAATAATTCTATTAGCTGCATCAAAACTTGAAACCTGCATGCAAACAACAGGCATCCTCTGTCGTCCGGTCAGGATGACCACCCAGGACGTTTTGCATTCTTTGAAGACCAGAGAACTGTCAACTTGCTTATGTTTCTTTCAGTGGCCTGGCAAACCTGATGAACACATTTACTGGCTAAATTGACTTGAGCTGTTTCAGATAAAAAACCATAAATCTGTATGTAACAGGTGATCCTCTTCCTGCAAACCAACTATGGAAAACACAGAAAAATCAGATTCCAGCCCCATGAATCATTCTGGAAACCAAGGTGCCTATCACAGTCCCCATGTCATGAGTGTCCTGACGCACCCTCCCTCTGCATCAGGGAGGCCACAACACCTGCATCTGCAGTCTCCATGTGTGGTCTCCAATTCAGCGACTCCACATCGCCGGGGGTGCTGTCAGAAGTGTAGCTTGGTGGGACCCTGGATCTACTGAATCACATCTGCGATCTGGGCCCAGGATTCGTGTTTCCATCAGTTCTCCATGGAGTCCAACGCTCACTCAAGTTTCAGGATGGCTCTCAAGGAAGGACTCCTTCAAATCTGTTTGGCTTTTGCTACCACAGTTCTTTCTTAACCTGCATCCGCATTTTAATGAATTCCTTCTGCTTATCTTTTTTTTTTTCTTTTTTTGAGAGGCAGAGTGGACAGTGAGAGAGAGAGAGAGAGAGAGAGAGAGAGAGAGAAAGGTCTTCCTTTATCGTTGGTTCACCCTCCAATGGCCCCTGCAGCCGGCGTGCTGTGGCCAGCGCACCACGCTGATCCAAAGCCGGGAGCCAGGTGCTTCTCCTGGTCTCCCATGCGGGTGCAGGGCCCAAGCACTTGGGCCATCCTCCACTGCACTCCCTGGCCACAGCAGAGAGCTGGAAAGAAGAGGAGCAGCCAGGACAGAATCCGGCGCCCCAACTGGGACTAGAACCTGGGGAGCCGGCGCCACAGGCGGAGGATTAGCCTGGTGAGCTTATCCTAAGTGCACTCACCAGCACGTGCACACAGACCACGCCTGTCAGTGGGATGCTCTGTCAATCGCCTCTGCAGGTAGAAAGACGAACGGCAACTCCTTGGGAGGAGAAGGGTCTGTCACCCCAAAGGCAGGCAAGCGACAGCAAAAACAACAGCGAAACGATGCATCAGCTGGGTAACCGCAGAGCAGCTTGGTTTCTCATGGTTTGCACCGGAGGGAAACAAGGCAGGGTGTCCTGAATGGCCTCGTGTTCTCACACCCAACACTTGCTTACGCTAGGCTGACTCCTTTCTCAGTCTCCAGCAGCTGCACATCGAAGAATAATAAGGCAGGTACAGCAGAAACCTGTCCAGGTTCTGTCAGTTCACGGTATGTGGATGTGTCTAAGTGCCAACTGCTGATTACATTTCAGGACTTTCAGACAACTTGGATCTCACAGTAGTGCAATCCTCTTTGCAGTATATCGTTAACTTCAAGAAAGGATATGAGTGGATCGCTTCTCTCACGTTGCACCCTGAACCGTCTCTGCATCCCACATTTTTCAATTACTAAAATGCCCACAAATGGGCCTCCGTGGCTGCAGACCTGGCCCCTGTTAGTAGGAGTACAGCTGACCCACTCATCCTGATGCCTTCAGTGGCAAAGATTAACTCCGAAGTGAAGGGAGCCAAAACCAAGCCGCTGTCCAGAGCCCTGAAGGCAGGTGCTGGACACCATCAGGCCCCATGCTTCAGTTAACTCATTGAGCTGAGGACATGGTTCTGCTGACCTACAAGGTCCTCTAGTCACCAGACCCATGAGGTCATCTGCTTCTCCAATAAATGACATCTTGATGTTTGGTCTCGTCTGGAGCCTTGAGCCAAATGTAACTTCCCCCAGACTGACGGGGGCCGCTATGCTATCATCAAAATTCCCTACAGGACACGATCTCGCTACAAACACTGCAGACCAACTAGGAAGTCGCACAGGAGATCAAAGTGCAACTCTCAGCTCCAACCTCAGTCTCTAGGAACCTTCACCCCCTCACCCCATGGGAACCCAGAAATAAAGTGATGCTGCCTGCTCCTTGCACTGCACTCTGCAATAAACTCCTCTCCTCCACCACTCCGATGTCAGTGAGTGTTTTCTGTATGCTGAGTGAGTAGAGTCAGTTTGGCTCTGTAGCAACTATTCTAACACGTTCTGGGGCATTCTTTATCACAGTGACATTAGGGCAAGACAGCCTGAATCTTGGAGACTCGAACTGCCCCCTGGAGGTGTCAACTCAACACCGGCTTTTCGTCTCAGAGTATTTGCAGAACTCACGGGCCCTGACCACAGAAACTAACCCCCAGTCCACCCTCAGACCCAGAAAGCCTGCAGCCCATCTTTACCATTCCAAACCAGACACGTTGGCATCTACCACTGACCAATCAAAGGAAGGCCACACGCTGTGGACAAGCAGAGGCCCACACATGAGCCGCTCACACACTGCTCATTCCCGGCTTTGAACTCTAAGAGGCACCGCCTTCACTCCCTTGGACAATCTGAGAACTGAGCACTGGCTGCCTAGCTCGTTGCTCTGTGCATTCAATAAATGCCTGCCTTTTCCCACCATCCCAGTGTCAATCACTGGGTTACTGTGCATCCGGAACGTGGATCCAGTTTTGGGGATTCCACAGCAACTCCTCCAGCTAGTTTTGGGGGTGTTCAATGGCTGGGGTTCTAGGACATTTGTGCCTTTCCTACAGCTTTCACATTAAAGACACGGTGAGTGATACAATGGGCAGTTTCCAACAGAAGGGGCTGCTTCTAAAGGCGCTGGGTGACGAAGGTGCTTTTGGCTCTCCCAGCTTCCCTAAAGGACTCAGCCACTCTGAAAACACTGCCGCCTGGGAGAAGCTGGAGAGAACCCTGAGACCAGGAAAGGCTCAGGACCTCGTGGAGATGCCACGACCCAACCTGGGCTGCCTGCGGTTTGTTGCTTTCTCTACAACCAGAAAAAAGCACGTGGGGCTGTGCACAGCCAGACTCTCAGACTAATCCTCTAGGGCTCATTCCCCAGCCCACACTGCTGCCCTGGAGTTAGTGCCGACACCAGGCCTGCAGCCTTTCCAACCATTTCTCTCCTCTTTGCACTAACACAGGTAAACGTGAAGGGAGGAAGTGCTAAGGTGGCGATTTTCCAAACACCTCTGCAGAGACAGCAAGGCCGCTTCCCAAGCACTCAACACACCACAGCTTTGCTTCTTAAAAAAACAAAACAAAACAAAACAACAAAGAGAGAAAAACTCAAGCCAGCATTCCACTACTAAGGGAGAAAAAAAATGCAGCATCAGTACAGTGAGCCGCTTGCTTCATACAGCCGCTGTGATGAAAGCGAACGTTCTACTACTCCTCTCTCCTGCGGGGTGAACTTGCTGATTCCTCCCCCCGCAAACCTCCGGTGGGGAAGTAGCTGGTCTGCTCACCTCCTTCAGGTCCTGCACGACAGCTGTGAGCCTCTCGTTTTCGGCCTGGACGTTGGTGACCACAGCCCGGCTCTGCTTCAGTTCGTTCTGCATCTCCAGGATCTTCCCCAGGTAGTAAGCCTCCTTGGACGCCGACTCCTGCAGCAGCGTCTCCTCCCGGGTCTCGCCATCCTCAGCGACCTTCCGGTGGATGGAGAAGGACTGCCCAAACGCCTACAGTGTTGGGAAGCAAACAGTGCACGATGAAACAATCCAGTCAGAACGTGCTGCTTAGTTCTGTACATGAGAAAAGCTACCCCGAAAGACCTCCAAAGCAAAAACAAAAAGCATGTCATTCATTTACAGTCCATTAGCTCTAACTGATGTTGGAAAAAATTCAAAGTTGATTCACAAAGACAGTTTTTAAATGTCCTGCAAAAAATATAGAATGAGTTTTAAAAAAGCTTGCAGAACACTGCTGCCTGCTTCATTTTATCAGTTTAGACAAATCCAATAATAGACTGTTGAGAGCTAATAAACCCATCAAAATTCATGTTGTCATCTTCATTATAGAAACAAAATCCCGCAAGTATTTTCCAAGAAAGGAAAGAGTGGTTTCATTAGCTTTCGAATACATGAGCAGTGACTGGCAGACCAGTTCTCAACAGCGCCATGAAGAAAGAAAACTGTCAGACAGCATTCACAAAGCCCATTATCACAGAAAGACAGTGCAAAGTTATCCTGTAGAAAACAGCATGTGAGGGGCTGGTGTTGTGGTGTAGTGGGAAAAGCCGCTGCCTGCAATGCTGGCGTCCCACATGGGTGCTGGTTCAAATCCTGCTCTCTGCTAATGGCCTGGGAAAAGCAGCAGAAGATGGCCCACATGCTGGAGCCCTGCCACCCACATGGGAGATCTGGAAGAAACTCCTGGCTCCTGGCTTTGGCTGGGCCCAGCTCCAGCCATTGTGGCCAAACGGGGAGTGAACCAGTGGATGGAAGCTATCTCTATCTCTCCCTCTCTCTCTGTAACTCTGACTTTCAAATAAATAAGTCAATCTGAAGGAAAGAAAGAAAAAAGAACACACACGTGTCTACTTAGGAAAACAGTTACCCATAGGTGGACAGGAAAGGAGTAGAAAAACAGAGGAACGAGGGTCAGAGACAGTTTTCCGAGTACGCCTTTTGCCTTTCGGTACAGCTGGGACTCTCAGAACGACAGCGATGCGTCACAAACCCCTCAGATAAGCAATGATTCAAATCAGCATGGGGTGGGTGTCGTCCTAGCGGTCAGGACACGGCAGCAACAGGTGCTCTGCGTGAGCTGCCTGTGCACGTCACCTGGCTGCTGTGATGGCCAAGGGGACCTAGGTCAGCCCGGGGGCTATACGGGCGGAAGCGACCTTCTGCCCTGGACCTGGGATTCCCGAAACCGAACCTCTTGAGTGAATGCTGGCCCCCAACGTGGTACCTATCAGAGAACAAATGACCTCATGAGGCCAGAGGTGAGAATCTTGTAGTTCTGCCCATCCTGCTCCCAACGCACGCAGCATCTGTATTCAAGACACTGCTTGGGGTTTCACTGTCAGCTCCAGTGTCCACAGTCCTCATTTTCTGGTTACCTTTAGTGGTCTCCTATGGCTGGTGGCTACCATGGTGGACAGTGCAGAGGCAGAGGGCAACACGGAGAGAGGGCGAGCAGAGAGCCACAGGGAGGGTGTGGTCTGGAGCCTGGCCTTGCCCAGGCCAGGTTAGAATTTAAATGTCACCAAGCAAGCAGGGCAGTACTGCCAGGCCTGCAAGTCTCTACCACAGTGCCTTAGCTCCAGCAAGTACTTCACATTTCAACAGGATTTAACTGGAGGGAAGGAAAGGGTGGGCAAGTGGCCTGTCACTGTAACCCACTCTCCCTAAAGAACCAGTTCACCCCTTTGGAACAATGAACAGAAATTATTTGACCAATTGTATTTTTGCTGCCACCACTGCCAGGAAATGCAGCATGGATCACTCAATAGCAGTAACTACAGTAACTGAAATTTTGGATAGAACTGTCTCTTATTTTCTCTATACTATTTTGAATTTGCATTGTATTTATCCCACTGTCTTGGTTTCTTTTATTTTAATCTGCTCCAAACACTTAAACAAAGCAAGGATATGAGTGATAATGCCATCTAAAATGAATTGTCAAAACATCAAAACGATGTTTAGCGACTTTTTTTTTTTTTAATCCAAAAGGTAGAGTTGTAGAGACAGAGACAGAGGGAGAGAGAGAGACAGACAGAGAGATCTACCATTTGCTGGTTCCTTTCCCAAATGACCTCAACAGCCAAGGTTGGACCAGATCGAAGGCAGGAGCCAACAGCTTCTTCCGGGTCTCCCATGTGGATGCAGGGGCCCAAGGACTTGGGCCATTTTCCACTGCTTTCCCAAGTGCATCAGCAGAGAGCTGGATCAGAAGTGGAGCAGCTAGGACTTGAACCAGTACCCACATGGGATGCCGGCACTGCAGGCAGCAGCTTAGCCCACTGTGCTACAACACTGGCCCCTGTTTAGTGATCATTTTAAACTAATCCTTAACAAAAGTCCATTTACAGACCAGGGTTTCAGGGCTCAGGAGGACTGAAAGTCCTTCTAAGGATGCATTCTCATTCGGTGGAAAACAAGGAACCCACAGGATCTGAGACAGCACAAAGCAGAACCTGGCTCACCCCGCTAGCCCCGGCTGAGGGTCGCTCCCCAGACCCCAGGGCATCCTAGAGTAAGCTCCCACCTGAAGAGACGCACTCACTGGGCACGGGCAGCCCAGAGGCACCTGGCCAGAAGAAGAGGCTCCCATGGCTCACGGAGCTCAAAGGCTATTGGGAGATGCAAGGTTTCGCCAACAGTTAGGTCAAGTCTGACCCTGCACGGGCAGCTGCCGTCCCAGGGTTCAGAGTGCAGGCTCCTGAGCTGCCACCACTGCTCCCACTGTGGGACACTGGGCACGTCACTCAACACAGACCTCGGTTTTCTCATCTGTAAGGCGGGACAACAGCAGCTTCTACGTCATAATGCTGTGAGGCTCAGATGGGGAAACCCACAGGTCACCCGGAACAGCCCTTTGTGCAAATTCACGAGCGCTCAACACCAACAGCAGCAGAAAGAAGTGCTTTGGAATCGAAACGCATTTGGGTTTAAGTGCGCCTCCTCTGAAATCTTTGGCAAAGGTTACAATTTCTATACCTCAGTTACATCATGTATGAGACAAGGGTAACAACATTTACCATAAGGTAAAGAGCAGCCTGGTCTTAAAAGGTAAGGGGATCAGAAAAGAGGTTTAAAGCAAACAGCAGAAGGCCTTGAAGCATGAATGGTCACTCGGCATCAGTCAGCCTCCTTCCCCTGCCCTTCGCAAGTCTCAGCTCCGACCCCACAGGGGTCAAGGTTCTCCTGGGTCTCCTGAGGAAGCCCTGAGGTCACGGATCTCCCTTAGGGGAGCAGCTGCCCACACCTCGTAGTGGACAGGAGTGGACAGTACCTCGTAGTGGACAGGAGTGGACAGTACCTCGTAGTGGACAGGAGTGGACAGTACCTCGCAGTGGACAGGAGTGGACAGTACCTCGTAGTGGACAGGAGTGGACAGTACCTCGTAGTGGACAGGAGCCTTGATGTGGCTCTTTCCCCTGAAGCCATTATAAATGTAAAACACAAACAGAAATGTCTCAAGGTTTATATCAGCAAAGAATCCGGTTTCTAGCTCTTTAGAAATTATCTTAATTTTATATGAAAGGCAGAAAGAGAAAGACAGATAAACAGAACTCCCATCTGTAGGATCACTCCCTAAACGTACAGCACAGTCAGGCACCCAGAACTCGGTCTGTGTCTACGACACGGGTGACAGACCTGAGCACTTGAGCCCCACTTGCTCCTCTCGGGGTGTGCATTAGCAGGAAGTTAGATCAGAAACAGAGGAGCCAGGACTCAGACTGGTGCCCATATTGGATGCTGGCATGGCAGGCAGTGGCTTCACTCATTAGGCCACAATGCCGGCCCTATACTTTTTAAAAATATATATTTATTTATTTACTTACTTATTTGTTCGAAAGTCACAGTGACAGATGGAGGCAGGAGAGAGGCAAAGAGACAGAGAGACAGAGATTCACCCCAAATGCCTGTATTAGCCTGGGCTGGGCCAGGCCAAAGCCAGGAGCTAGGAACTCATCTGGGTCTCCCACATGAGTGTCAGGAACCCGAGGACTTGGGCCTTGATAACTCCCAGGCACATCAGCAGGAAACTGGAGAGGAAGCATGAAGCAGTGGGGACTCAGACCAGACGCTCCAATATGGGATGTGGGCGCCCCAAGAAGCAACTTAATCCACTGCACCACAATGCCTGGCCCTCTGTACTTCTTAACTAAATACTCCATGATAACCTGGCTCAGTGCCCCTAATTTGCCCACTATAATATCCAACGGCCTATAATTCAAATATATATTTACTCAAAGTCAGGATTTTCTTCTACCATTGATGGTTTACATCTGGCTACTTTCTGAATTGCTTTATAAGTTTCCATCCCAACTTTTCAAAGATTTTTCTAAATTTGCTCATATATATTGAATATCCACTAAGAAAATGAATGCTAAGACCTAAGCACAAAACGTAACATCAAAACGATTTTCTGGGGTGTCAGAAACAGACTGAGAGGCCTTTCAGCTGCGACACTGCTGCCCGCACTTCCTCGGCGTCCCCCACACCCTCGGCCCCTCCGCGGGTTAACACTGCCCGCAGCTCGGCACCTGCTGTCTTCTTTAGTTTACCATTCACGTGCATGCCTGTCCACAATGCACCGTGGGATACTGCTCGCCGCTGGAATTCATAGAATGGAATCCTCCTGCAGGCACTCTTCCGCAACCTGCTTTTGAACCCAACACTAGATTCCTACAAATTCTCCATTTTCATTAGTGCAGCTGTAACTCACCTATTTCCATTGTTATGGCCTAGTAAATAAATATTCCTTATTCCAGTAATCTGGTCTGAAAACACGTGATTTGCTTGTTTCCAGTTTTCTGCTATGACAAACAACGTAGCTATGAACACTGTTGCGCATGTCCCCTAATTGGGTGCTTTCCAAAATACTGTGGCGCTGTGCTGTAGTGGGTAAAGCCACTACCTGCAGTGCTAGCATTGCACCTGCGTGCTTGTTTGAGTCCCGGCTGCTCCACTTTCAATCCAGCTCTCTGCTATGGCCTGGGAAAGCA